CGACGAGTCCAGCCTCCATGGTTTACATGGAGAGGATTGTGTGAGGTAAGAGATGACAGCTCATGAGAAATCTTTGAGTCAGCGAATAAAGACATCAGAAAAGCGAGTGAAATGGAGGTGTGCCGTTGAAGTCTTATGTTTCACTCGGAATCTAGGGGAATAATAACAATAATAATGTAAAATTCCTAATCTGATTATATGTCCACTTCAGCTTTTGAATTCATTGTCCATACACTCTGTCCTCATTTGCATTTTACTGTCTAATCGTTTACTAAAAATAGACATTTCAACATTTACGCGGAAAGTACATTAATTTTACTTGTACTACAAATGCATTATTCATCTCCATGAGAGAGAACAAAAAAAAAGAGTGACTAAATGTGTTTTTTTAACACGGAAAATGTCTGCTTGAATAGAGAATATGGAAGGCTGAATGTATCTGATTACTGAGATGTGAATGAATTCACAATTCACAATGACAGTAAATCACTTAACCCCACACGAAGTATCACTGGATAGTTGTTTCTTCTTTTTTTCGTTGTTATCTTATGTGCCATCCTTTTCACTTTTACAAAAGTAAAGTCAACATATGACTAGATAGTCTTTCCGATACTCTTGGTGGTTCCCTTGATAAATCTTGATAAAAAAGGAAAGAAAGAAAGATCAGATTTGCATCATAAAATAATATCATCATCCTACTTCACAGGTTCTCATCATCTGTTGCAAACTACCTGAAATTACAATGATTAGAAATATAAGCGAGGATCGGGAAACAAGGTAAGCTTTCATCCCTCTCAAGTTTGTATGGAGGTCAGCAACACTCAGCATGAGAAATAAAATGCAGATTTTCAACCCCATTGTGAAGTCTGTACTACTAGCAGATCAAACATGCGCGTACAAGGACCCTTTGAACAAACTGCAGACTTTCATCGCTAGCTGTCTTCGCTCGATGCTCAAATGCAGATGGCCAGAAAAGATCAGCAACAGGGCGGGATCTCTGGGAGCGAACCAACCAACTGTCCAACGAATATGCAGGAAGAAATGTAGGTGGATTGGATTGGCCATACTCTGAGAAAACAAATCATCAAGTGAGTGACATCACACGCCAGGCTCTCAAGTGGAAGCCGAACGGGAAGCCCCGAGTTGGGTTGTCAGTGAGAGGGTGACATGGAGGAGATCATATGAAGAGGAGATGAAAGCATGTGGTCAGACGCGGAGTCAGGTGAAAACGTTGGCAGAGAACCGAAAGCAACGGAGACGTGCCGCTGAAGTCGTATGTTCCTCTAGGAAATAAAGGAAACATTAATAATAAATAATTACCTCTTCCAATTCGTGATTTAGCGCGACCCCAACCAATGTCGTCGGTGTTACATCCATCCTCACACGTGACATCTGGATGGACCTCACTGGTCACGACTTCTCACTAGAGCTCCAGGAAGCTCCATCCTGTAGCAAGTCACTAGAGAGCATCAGATTAATTTTCTATAGTTTGGTTTGTAAGGGATAGTTCTAGTTTTACGAGTTGATCACGAATTGACATCAGTTAGAGAACCATTGAAAACCAGGGAGTACTGGACAGCTGTTTCATCCTAGTTTGGGAATCACTGGTTGTACGCAAGATGGTGTTTCCTGGAGTACTACTGAGAAGTCATGACCAATGAGGTCCATCTAGATGTCACGTGTTAGGATGGATGTCCCACCGACGACACTGGTTGGGGTCGTGCTGAATCACGAATTGGTAGAAGTTAGAATTCATGGGCCATTGAATGGAGTCCCAGTGGCTGAATGGTACACGAGCTTGCTTTGTAACCGGAAGGTCCTGGGTTCGCACCTCAGTGGGTGCGTACTGCCAATGATTCCCAAACTAGAATGAAACAGCTGTCCAGTACTCCCTGGGTTTTCAATGATTCTCTAACTGATATCAATCCGTGATCAACTCGTAAAAACAAAACTAACCCTAACAAACCAAGCTACAGACAACCATGATATATACAATGTTTGAAGGGTATTAGAGAAAATATTATAAAAGAAATTAACGCATCCGAAATGTAAACATTGAAATTTTCAGTTTAAGTAACCATAAATTCATATGCTTTCAAAGTATAAAAAAGCAGGAAGAGCAGAGGAGAAAAACGGAAAACGGAAAAAAATCTAGTGGACAAACAGTGTTAGCTTGTAGGTTCCCATAGCAACTCAGGAAGGCTATAGTTGATAAGACTGAAAACTTGCTCAGTGAGCTGAAATCACTAATAGAAATGACTAGTCAACATAATAAAGATCCAAATGCAGTATGTATAAGTACAGTTTAAAAGGTTTGATTGCAACCGCTTCAGCAAATCATCGTAAATTTGCCGTCCTTTGAATATTTCATCAAATATACCAGTCCAGACGTGAATATAAAAAGAAAGAGTTCAGTGAAGAGCCTATTTTCGGTGAATTCATTCACTCACCTCACGTTTGTCGAAGTGATTGCTGTTAAAAGCATGAAATCTGACTTATGTTTTCACAAAGCAGCAGATATCCTTCTTTTATTGACCTGGTAACTTGATGTATTTATTCCCTCTTCATTTGATTACACGGTCTTCGGCTTTAACCTCTCCCCATTTGATATAGTCTCATTTTGCTCATCTCTTCTTTCTGTGATTTGAGTTGAACTCACCACATTGTTATTCAATTTACTAGTTACTCATTACCTTATGCATCTTTTGTCTTTACTACTCAATTCCTTTTCCAATGTAACCAAGCCTTTATTTTTGTTTGAACTTAAACTTCCTGTGTATTGACTATATATGTGAAGTCGTCTGAGTACTGTTTACTAACTTTGGAGTCTCGTTTCGCTGACTGACATTATGTCACATTCGTAATTATATTACAATGGTTCTTTCCATGAACTCAACACTCTCTATAGGCTGTACAGTGATACAACTATGCGTAGAGACTGTGCTCATTGATGAGGGCAGTCATCTGTAGAAATACCAAGCAGCAATTAAGTAGTGGATGTCTTTTCAGCAGTCATAGAACAACACTGAGCCTGTGACTTTCATCATCTTCAACCATCATTGTTTCACAACATCTTTCGGCTTAAACATCTTAGGTTACGCATCGATACAAGGCAGTTACGGCTTCAAAGTAAAACTATCTGAAGGGTGTCTATCAAACAGAAGGTCGGTTGACGAAGCTGAATAACTTTCTGTGGATGAATAATCCAACAGAGGAGGAGGTCTGTCATTAAGCCAAAGGAAGAATTGTGGGCTGATGGAACTTTTATCTTTGAAAGAATTCTCCACGTATATTGTGTGACCAGTGTTGAATGTCTGTCAGGCTATAGTACTCATTATTGATCAACTGTTACCTTTCCATAGCTAAGAAACATAATGTTCTTTGACTCACTAACATATAACATGCATTGAACGACCTGTATATCTCACTCCACATGAGCTAGTGGATTGCTAGATACGATAGTTTATCTTTGGAGTTGTTGAAGAACATCGGTCGACAGGAGAATACCGATAGTGATGCACCAGCAAATAGTGTTGTTTTCAGGGCGTTAGATATGCTCATCTGTCGCCTTTGAACGCCACATTCATGTACAGCATCGTCTTCGATGCAAAGCTGGGATGTTCTTTGTTGGTGTTGTACTGCATGTGTATAAACCGAGTCGGTGACGGTTGAGATGGTGTAGTCATTTTCAAGTAATGTCCTCCTCAAAACAGTGATCTCTTCGTCTACTGATTCAATACTGCAGATTCTTCGAATCCTAGTCACTAGAGACATTATCAATTTCCACTTGTGATTCATTGGCACCCTACCGTGAAAGGTTGTCAACTAGCCGTTCTATTTGAGCTTTCTAAATATTGATGTGTTTAGAGTCCCATCACAATCTCGTTTGTTAGTGGAACGTCCAGAGAGGAGATAGTCTGTCCGGTTTCTACTTCACTTGTAAATTTGATGGTTGGGGTTGGCAGCTATCGGAAACTTGAAGAATATTTATTTAGGTCAATTTATCAACATCTTTTTCTTAACTAACCCGCTATTTACTCTTTTTTTACCTACTACATAATTTATTTTGGGCACTTGTCTCCAGGCTCTTTCATAAACATACTATTTCTCTAGACTTTTTCCATTTTATGTAACCCTAGTTTTGACTTACTAATCTTCACCCCATCCCATTCACCACAATTTTTGAAATATTTTGACGACGTAAGCAATGACCAAACATTTCTTTATTTTTGTCTGACAAACCTAATATATACCCACATATATATATGTGTAAGAATAATTATATATAATTAAGGTTGTACAGGTGAGTGAATGAATTAGCCGAAGAGGCTCTTTGCTGAACTCTTTGTATATTTAGTTTTTTGAAGGATTTAGAGTTGTTGACGAAATGAATGGCATCAACAAGGTGTCTGGAAACTGAATTTTGTAAGTATCATCTTCCCTTCAGACGTAAGTCTCCGAAGAAATTCTCGGAAAGCCGGACAAAAGTCCTTCCTACTGTAAATCCACTCTATCCCCCACCCCCTCAAGTGGACTTCGATTGATCAACGCAGTTGCGGGTGGCATCAGTGAAATACCTATCCAGTTTAAACTGGCTTTTAGAGCATCTGGTGCTGTATAGTATTAAGAACTTAGTTGCAGGGAAGCTTTCATTCTCTTGTCAGATTCCGTGATACTGCTTCTCCTTTGAATTGCAGATAAATGAACACTTGCTTCTTTCCAACAGTTGGGTGTTTCGTTTTCTCATCCTTTTCTCGGTTATACTTTTGGCTAAATCCCTTTGGATAAACATTTTCCCTCAGGCCTTTCTCAACAAAGCCTAATTCTTCTTCTAGCTTGTTTGATTTCTTTTCTCTATATGAATGAAGTGTTTCCACTCGACTTGAAGTCAGAATGTATACTGTGTTTTTTTTCTTTCAAAGTGAATAACATTTGTATTCCTAACCCACTGATTCTGATGTATTCCGCAGTGTACATGCTGATTTTGCTGTCTTTTACAGAAACGTGATCTCCTGAGGACTTTCTGTATAGATCCAAGCGTTTTTGTACGCTATATGTTAAAAGTGGAATCCACGTATCATGCTGATGTTCCGTATCACAATTCAATGCATGCAGCTGATGTTTTACAGACATCGCATTATTTACTACAAGCAGAAACACTGGATGTAAGTTTCTTCCAAATGTAATTTCTTTAAACGTATTATTCTTAATTTATATCCACTTAATTTCGTCATACTCCGAAATATATTATCAGCTGAAATAAGGGGCTTTCGAAAAAAAACACACAGGGAGACGTAGTTTATTCAAATCGCCTATTGAAATCTCAGAGCAAATATATATCACAGAAATCTATATGAAAAAAGCGTTCAGGGGTCGGAGAATAAACACAGGTTGGGTTAAAAGCCTATTCTGAAGGTTAAAATAACAATGGAGATCAATAAACCGAAAAAGGAAGGACGATAATGGTACATTAGTTTTGGTGTGAGAACAAAATGTACCAAACGAAGATTTGACGGCATGACGAATCATTTTTGAACTCATAACGGTGGATTGAACTTTCCAACTGCCAGGTCTTCGTTAAACTTTTAGGACACTCCCATAAACACCTTTTACTGGTAGGTTTAAAAGACGTATGAACATCACTTTTATACCTTATAATTATAATATGTATCTCGAAGAAAGAGACTGGCTACCCTTTTTTTGCCATTAATGCCTGAATCATTTAAGCAGGCTTGTAAACCACTCAGCCGCTGGGAGCCGATGCATTGACCCATGAATTCTAAATTCTATCATTTTGCGATTTTAGCGTAGCCACCGACCAATTTCATTGGTGAGTATTTGTTTTCACCCCACCGGTCACGACTTCTCACTGGAATCCACTAGAGTCAACTTCATCCTGTAGCCAATATTATAAGTCTGTGTTGTAAATTTTTTAGTGTGTAGCTGCATTTTCAGGAATGACTAACAGTCAACTTTTCTTCCACAAATGAAACTCCATGGAGATTTCTTTTCACAAACAAGCTTTCTATTTGATTCATGGTGATTAGTAGTGGGATCTGGGATGCGTATTTTGTCCTATTTTGTACTCATCAGATGGATGTACGAGCACCTCCAGGGAGTGGTACTTTTCCTACTGAAACCAGTACCTAACCAGCGACCATCATTTCAAAAGCCACAGACAAATGACGTTTGGAACTATGGGTGCTAGCTGTATTGGAGTTTCAACGGGGATAGCATCAATCCCTGGAGATGCTGGTACATTCAGCTCCTGAAAATGGGTATCCTCAGTTCCACTGTCAGAGACAATTAACAGAATAATAATGTCGTGTTAACCCCCGGACATCGTTGAAGTGTCCGTGTTTAGAAGCCGACACGCCAACACCGAACGAGTGTTTCGGTCTGATATAAATCAATGAACGTGAACTTTTCTCCCATACATGAAGTTTCCGTGGCTGTTGAGAAACACCATAATAGAGGGGATATCGATATATCATTTCCATAGGGAAATATTCTTCACTTTTAGTAGATTAAATGTAGCTGTCTACATAAATTGATATAAAACAGGAAGTTTTGCTGTTCCGACGCTGAAGTGGGTGCCATTGGTCCACTGGTCCACTACCCACCAACCATGCACGTGGTCTGGGATTGCATTCGCCACTGATGGGCTTCCATAACTCTCTTATTCAATAATAAAGACCAGAAAGGAGGGAAGAATGAGAGTGGAGCGTCAGTGACTTCACCTCGTAATAATAACACATTTCCTAAAATTTCAAAACTCAAACCTTGGGGCCCTATATTCGTGCACGGTAGTTAAAATCAAAACGGTGAAGTTAAAGTACCACGGCTACAGCAAAATGGCTCTGTAGGCTGACTTTAAAGGACCAGTCGCTTTGGAAGGTCATTCCAAATAGAATTAATGCCTGTGTTTATGGATTCGGCTAGTGGGTTCCTCAGAGATCCAGAATTTAACTACCGTGTTACTAATGGGTTATTTACAATGACGAGGAGTTGCGTTTGTGGACAGACTATAGCAGTGAAACAACACATCCTTGCTGGAGGCAAATACTGCTACGGATGCAATTCATGCCATAAGAGAAAATCGGTCCATAAGAGTAGGTGTAGTATTTTACCTATTCCATAGGTGTGTTTTTCTCCAAGTCTAAGCTGTCTATGTCGGATACCCTATGACTTATGTGCTGCTGTATTTTACAAAGGCCTGTAAGGTCAGCAACAGTTAAGACAGAAAATAGCCCGTTCTCTACAGTCCAATGATATCAGCATTGTAGAGACACAGCGTGACAGAAGTAAGACGGGACTACTAGCTGTCATGGAGGAGAAGGATAAGTTGTTCACATCGATGGCACTGCCATCATTACGAAGAAGTATAATAGAGTAAGGAGAAGGGTTGACCAAGCGTGGGTCCTTGAAATATACGACACTTCACTTTACAGAGCTTTTGTGGAAATAATACCCAACAGAATTCCTAGAGTATTAATTTCAACCATTCAGCGCTTGGTATTGCAAGGAATGACCAAACATACTGACGAATCGAGGGGATATAACCAACTTCCACCTTCGGGTTATATTCACCATCACGTTAACCATTCCTCAGATCTTGTAGACCTAAACACGGACATTGGCACTAATTCCCTAGAAGGATTTTGAGGGAGGTTGAAGAAAAGAATCAGGAATATCAATGGATTGCAAAATGCCATGATTCATGGCCATATCGTTGAATACATATATCGGGTTTGCTAGAGTATCTCTAGCGGATTATCCCTGGAGAATATGGGAAACATTTCTGCAACACATTAGAGACTATTTCCCAGTTTAATATTATGTTTGTAACGTGCTTAATAGATTTTTTTAAACGATTATGGCGCTTTTTTCGCATTTGAATTCTGATTGGCTGTTCAAGGTCACTGGGATTTTGGCTATGACAGACTGACTTCGCCATCAAGTCATTTCCAAAACTTTCAATTATTACTTTTTTGGTTTCATTAATTTCTCCTGTGTGTAGAATTATCAAAGCATTCCATAATTTATTGATAATAGTAATAATAATTGATTAATAGTCATAAACGCTATCATCCAAATGTATATGTATAATTCCGTAGGTACATCTTTCATTGGGAATACACACACCAAGTCTGCATCACAGCTTTTGTAACAAAAAAACAAGCATATCACTACTTCTACTACTACCACTACTACTACTACTTAAACTAAGTCCACCCCTTTAAATTTACAGGATGTGTTCAGTGATCTGGAGATCTTAGCTGTTCTTTTCGCCTCAGCTATCCACGATGTCGATCATCCTGGAGTAACAAATCAATTTCTTGTCAATACCGGTGAGTTTATGTATTCAAAACAATTGTCATATTTTGAAATATTACTTTTTGTCGAACCAAAAAATGTTTTAACTCTTTTGAAAGCATTTCTTAGTTATATAATTATTAGAAACACACAATAAAAACAAGCTTTCTTCAGTCAACGGTCAACAAAGCATATTTTCAGGTGAATTTTGAGCCAGGTGGCTATAGGGACTTTTTAAATCCCCTGGAGTACGTGTTCAGCTACTTGACGCGAACGGTGAGAGTTCAACTTTTCCTTAACTACCTCTGATTAGTGACAAACGAATGTTTCCTAGTTTCACACAGAACAAGTTTTTGTCACTTTCTACTATTCCTAAAAACATCCATGGAGGAAAGACTTTTTCAGATGTTAGATTCTGAAGTGAAGCAAAATGGGTCAAAGATATCATTGAAACTAGGGAGCACTGGACTCCGGGCACCTTCAGGTTTTGAGACCAAGCTGTTTGACTATTCAGCCACTTGGCCTAAAGTTCAGTAACCAGTGAATTTTTAACTCGTCTGGAGTTCTTTTGAGAATTCATGAGCAGTGGTGTCCATTAACAGATCCGGAGTGAGGACTCACCGATAGTATTGGCTAGTGCCAATAGCACCGGAACCACGAAGTGATAGAAGTTGAAATCGGTGGGCCATTGAATCGGCTCCCAGTGGCTGAACAGTCTATCGGGTTGCCTTTGAACCGGAAGGTTTGAAGTTAGAACCCTGGTAATTGTGTACATTCTATGAGTCCTGAGCACTAGGATGAAACAGCTGTCCACTACATCCTACTGGTTTTCAACGGTTCTCTAGCCAATATCACTCCGTGATCAAACTCAGAATAAATCACACACCCCTGCAAACTGACTCTTGAAAATTCGAAACTTTATCAATTCATGATATAGCGCGCTACCCTCACTAATGGTATCGATGAGCATCTACTTTCCCCTGACATTTTGGATTTTGTTTCCACCACTGGTAGAGTCGTAGGTGTCCACTGATAAAAAAGTGTCCCAACACAAGAAGAAACGGTACTTTTCAATAATCTCTCTTACTGATGTCGGTTAGTGACGGGATTTGACATTTGAAATTAGTTTAAGATCTTCCCAAAACTCTCATAAAATGATAAAAGGGGTTCTAAGATAAAGCAAACACAGGAATTTACCCAATCTAACCATCATTGTATTATTATCCCCTTCGGTTGCGAGTGGAAAATGGGTCTTCAACAGCATATCCCCATAGGCCTCTTCTCTGCATTCGTCTTTACCTGGCTTCATGACTGAACATAAGCTCTCATCTCCTCTTCAAACTAACTTCATTATGTCACTTACAGACCCACGCTCATCTCATCGTTTCACATTCGGGTTCCACTAGAGGATCTCAAAAGGATGTGATGTCTACTCAACGGTCTTCTAAGCATGTACACTATCCACATCATATTCATTGAACGACAGATTCTTGACTAGCTCTTTTCCAAAGGTTTTATCTGCTAATTATTCCCGCCAGCGATCTGGTCTTCACTATGGAGCCCATAGAAGGTGGATGACATCACACAAAGTCTTTGACGCATATAGTAGCAGTAACTGACTTAATATTGGTGCTGAAAATCCGAATTTTGTTCCTTATGCTGAGGGGAGAAGACTTCCATATTGATTTCAGGACAGTGATGTTCTTTCGTGGTCTTCCTGACTTTGGTTTTGACATCCTCATCTATCTGACTACTATAACTGCTACTAATCAGAGGCATGTTATTGAAGCTGTCTCCTTGACTTCAGTTTAGTTTCACATTTTTCCCTTAAATACGCACACACACACACACACACACTCCCATATATACAGTTAAAATCAGTCTGAAAATGATTACTTTTCAGTTTCTACAGACGCGTTATTTATTATGTCTAGCAATCGGAGGCAAGAGAAAATAATGAGATATGTTCAAATTCCATCTTCTTAATCCCTTTCTATACTTTCTATGCTCACAATTATCTATCTGCCTATATATATCTATCTACTTAACTATTTATATTGCTGCCTCTGATGTATCGTGTTTAACCACCCACCCACCACCCATCAAACGAGCTAGCTATCCATTGCAGAAAACGCACACACACACCCACATACCCAGACGAACATGCACGCATCTTGTCTAGGAAGAGGAAGACACACGCACACACAGACATACACATACACAGAGTAACAATGGTGATGATGATGATAACAATAATAATAATGGTAATAATAGTAATGATGATAATAATAATAATAGTAATAATTCAATTAGGTATATGCTTATCAATGCATGAATAGATTTAGAATCGCATGCATAGAAATCTATGCCCACATGCATGAAGCACTAGTCAAAAAAGTATATTACGTAATTCTATTCTTTCAGCTTTTTTTCCCTTACAGCATGCATGTAGTTCGATCCAGGAGAGCATAATGAAGATATGCATGTCGTGTGTGTGAATGTGAGTGTGTGTGTGCGAGCGACCGAGCGAGAGAGAGAGCGCGCGATGAGCTGTACACACTGCATAACCATACCAATTATCCATTTGTCTATTATGATTATTATAATAATAATTATTATTATGTAATGTTAACGAGGTAGATTATCTCTTAGATTTTCTTTTAAGGTGTGTTTGGTACAGAGGTAGATAGATAAATAGATGGATAGGTGGAGGCATACAGCTCTATTCTGATTATCACGGGTTTTTTCATTGTTGTTGCTGTTGTTGTTGAATTTTTGGTTATTTATGCATGTTTATTTCGCTGAAGTCTGCCTCCTGTTTGCATGTCATCTGATAATTATAGTAATAATAATAGTAGTAGTGTGCATTCTGACCACACATTTACCGTCTAAATTTCTTTTCAGTAATCCGATATATTTGGCCAAAAACCACCCTGTCCAATGTCAGTTTGTTGCGCTTCGGATTGTAAGAGTGGTAAACAAGCGCCACTCAAACGACACACTCAATTATTGTGTGGCGGTTGAAGGCAATCGACCTACGTCTTATGCTTGTTAGCACCCGTGTTATAGCAAGGCATATTTCCCCTTCTGAGATTCGAACCCAGGTCACCCATTGCTGCAGTCAGAGATGTGACCAGTGTGCTATTCAAGCTAGCCAGTGGTCTCCTGCAGAACTGTAATGGATACTTTGACTGGCCTCTAAACAGTAACCAATTTCCTGCGTCTTGTGGCGATACAAACACGAAACATAGATCGATGGCTTCCTGTCTGACAAAAACAATAATGTCGAGCCAGCCAGCTTGATGGTTGTTATGCTGTAAACCTGACTGACAGACTTCAGTCTAGACCAACAACAAGGACTAGAAGCAGGACATTAGTTACTACTTGGTGTCTAATCAGAGCAGTCGCTTATCTTTTGGAGTAGGCAGTATCAAGGAAATTTGTGTAAGTCAGTTGATGGTGAAATCAAAAACTCCTACCAACTTCTTAGGAAATGAGAATGAGGTCTGCTGGATAACGCTGCGTCAGTGGTTCAGTGGTAGAACACTCGACAGCCACTCAGGCGGTCCGGGGTTTGATTCCCGGCACTTCTCAACCTCGCCTAGCTACTGGTAAGACCTGTGAAGAGACAAGAATGAGTGTGAAAAGGTATACACTACTACTGCTGCTAAAAATCCGAAGCTCAAATTTAAAGCCGTATGTTCGACTCAGAACGCAAAGGAGTGACATAAGATAATGGACAAGACTGAGCAACGCTTTAATGCTCAGCTTCACCTAGGCAATGAATGGCCGCTGATTGATTGTGTCGATTTAATGATGCCTCATGAATTGTCAATTATGCCTACTTAATCGTTGTGTAAACATTTTTCTTCCATCACTTGACATGTTAGATTCTGAGTTATCCTCTCACAGTTTATTCCCAGTTTACACAACGGATTTTCTCACATGATAAATTCATGTTTCAGTAAACAGCAGATAGACGAGCTAAACCCGTCTTCCGCCCACTGCCTCTCTTACATCTACTAGACTAGTAGAAGCCTCTGACATTGAAACTGATAATTACTGAATACGTGTTTCATCTGGAACACACTTATCGACCGGAATGTATGTAAATCTTGCTGAATAATACTCAATAAGAATAGATGTGCTTATTACAAGCTCAAACCTCGCCTAGCTTAATAGTTCACCAGTCCCAAACCCAGGAAAATCAATCGAATCGCAAAAGAAACTTCAAAGCACAAGAAAAACATTAAAAACAAACTTATTCCTTGCTGAAACCGGATAGGCGAACTGACGTGGGCTAGTTGGTGAAGGTCTTTGGGAAGCCAGTCGTCAGCCGATGTCTTCTCTCAATGAAAGCCAAAAAACAAGGATGGCGACGTGGAATATTCGCATAATGTTAGAAGCTAGGAAGGCTGCTCAAGTTGTCGAAGAAATGAGAAGATATGGCATGGAATCGTGATCCGAGCTACAGAGAACAGGGGAACTATAATAACTATAAATTGCAAGTCTCATTACTGATCATAGTTAGAGTTTTGAAAGTCACCTCACCAGGAAACTTAAACAGTAGATGTGCATAAAAATGATAATAGCCATAATTAAGCTGTTCAAACTCATTTAGGAGTGAAACTAATCAGATGAAATTTTCCTGTGCAGTTATTAATTAAAGAAAGATTTTATTACCCATTTCAAAATGTTTTTCTGCTGTAGAAATTCAGTTTTATTAGTACAGTCTTGTCGGCTATATAAAGAAAAAGCACATGTCTAGAAAAGAGTTAACTGACCACCAAACTGAACTCTATGCGATGTAAATTAGTTTTAATAATAATAGTAATAATAATAATATCGGCTTTATTCTTCATAATTTACATAATGCACACGATGGAAAATTCTCTGTGCAATATCTTGCAAAATATTCGCTCTTCGTACAGTATCTTTAGGTAAAATAGTAGTCAAAGGCATATATTATAACTCAGCGTTTTTCAGTATGAAACACGATTCACTTCCCTACGACTTCTCTCCCCTTGAAATGGATAGTGGTAGGGAGGAAATCAGTTAACAGTTCGAGTGAGTACAATTCGTTATCTGAGGACATAAATGGAAGATGGAAACATTAAGAGAAAAGCTGATACATTATGCTGGATAAAACTTCAGATGTAGCACATCGGTTTAAGCTTTAAAATTTCTGCTGTGAATGGATTGATTTTCCTGGGTGGGGATCTAAGAAACCAGGTAATTTGGCTGCTCAATTAACTTCGACCTCGTTTTCGATCGACTTCAACCAGAAATAACGATCATAACTGTTGTATAACCATGTATCCTGCTATACTTGGGTTCTAGCCACACTAAAATCTGATTCTTTAGGCTGGTCCACCTAACCTGGTGGCTAGGCTGCTCTTAACACTGTTCCATGTGGAGAGAGACAGTATAACTCCTAGGACTGTTCAAACGTCTACTTATTAAGGATCATATGAAGACAGCAGAGAGATATACAGTCACACCTCAACTCACAGAGACGCTAGAATTCCTTGAAAACCTGGTTGTCCGCAGTCTGGACCGGGCAGCATAGATAATCAGATTGACCGCTGAAAGAGAAATGACTGAAAACTAACTGAATAGACAAACTTCTTTGGTCTCCTGCGGGGTCACTAGCACCACACCCAACCTTCCCTCCTTTTCTCGGCTTATGGAAGCTAGACCATGTGACCAGAATTAATGATCAACAAGAAACTCTGGCAGAAATATATTGCTCAAAAAATATACCGAAAAAAATTAAGACGAGTTTAACACATGCTGAAGAAACCGTTGTGTGAAATCACTCACTAGACCACTTCTCAATTGGAACCCGAATAAGAAGCCAGCGATGAGTTGGACATCGTTGGTCTGAGGGTGACATGGGGGAGATTATCTTAAGAGGGTATGAGATCATATGAGGAATCGTCGAACCAGATAAAAAAAGACAGCAGAGAAAATAGTGAGATGGAGATGTGCTGTTGAAATCCTGTGTTCCACTCGGAACCCGAAGGAATAACACCAATAATAATAGGGGTCTAAGCAGGCCGTCAATAGGTGTTTAAGTAGTAATCCTTACAATCCACTGCGCGTCACGATTGTTATAGTTGTTGTTTTTCGATATCGGATTCCTTCAGAATAGACACTGAAAAGAACAGTCGCAGTTTAACTGACTCCTTTCAAGTATTAGTTTGGTAGCGTTTGGTTTTTTTCAAGTTTGACCAAGGATTGATGTCAGTTAGAGAACCATTGAAAACCAGGGTGTATTGGGCAGCTACTTCTGTTTTACTAGCCTAAGACTCACTGGCAGGGTTCGGACCCAGAAACTTCCAATTACAAGGCAAGCTCGTTGACAATTGAGCCACTGGAGCCCAACTTTAGTGGACCATGAATTCGGTACTTCCTGGTACTCATTGATCTTCTAACTGATACAAATCTATTGTAAAAATTGAAACAAATTAAATCCCCACAAAGTAACTTTTGAAAATGAATCCGATGCTCACTAGTGACTACCTTCAGGACAGAGTTGTCTGCAGTGAGTTTTACTGAGAAGGCGTGACCAGTGAGGTCCAAGACAAGGTCAGGTGTGAGGACAAATATTCACCGATGACACTGGTTAGTGTTTGCGCTAAAACCACTGGGTCGAGTCTCAGTGGCTGAATGGTCTACGAGCTTAACTGTAACTAATATAATCCTATCATAATATACCCTTTTAATTCAGGGGTTTCAGACAATGAAGACAATGTGTAATGACAGTTTAGTAGCGCCTAATTTCCACCACTTCCTTGTCCAGTGTCAGTTTGAGGGGATGTGGAAAACTTGCCCAACGCTTATGATAATAATAATTATTATTATATTATTGTTTCCTTTAATTCCTAGAGGAACATACGGCTTCAGCCGTGCGTCTCCATTGCGTTCGGTTCTCTTCTAGAGTCTTCACCTGGCTCCAAGTCTGCCCACACGTCTTCATCTCCTCTTCACATGACCTCCTCCTTGAAGTCACCCACCCTTGCACTGACGACCAACTCGCCGCTTCCAATTCGGTCGGGTTCCACTCGAGCAATGGCTTGTCTAGTGATGTCACTTGGTGGTTTGTTTTCTCAGAGTATTGAAAATCCATCTCCATTTCCTCCTGCCTATTTGTTGTACAATCGGTTCCTGGTTGGTTCGCTCCCAGAGATCCCTCCCTGTTGCCGATCTTTTCTGGCCGGCCATCTGATCTTGAGTATTGAGCGAAGACAACTGTAAATGAAGGTCTGTAGTTTGTTTGAGATGCTCTTTATGACGCGCAGTGCAAGTCTCTGATCCGTATAGTAGCACTGACTGACTTCACATTGGAGTTGAAAATCCGGATCTTATTTTGATGCTGAGTGCTGTTGACCTCCACATAGACTTGAGAGTAGTGAAAGCTTGTCTTGCTTTCCCTATCCTTGTTTTGATATCCTCATCAGTTCCGTCCGCCTGTAGTTGAAACGACGCTTCCCAGGTAGGTAAAGGAGGTTGTTTCTTTCAGGTTCCTCCCATTTATGCTGATTGTTGTCTGTTTTAGTTGTTGTTGCTGTTGGTGGTGTTGCCCAGGAATCTTCATCACCTCTGTTTTCTCTATGTTCACCTGAAGTCCTATTTTTGATGCTTCTTCTGCCAAATTCTTGCTTTTCACTTGCATATCTTCCAGCAGTTTGTGGGAAATCAGACATATATCATCGGTGAAGTCCAGATCCTCCAAGTCGTTTTTGTGTGGGTCCATTTTATGCCTGCTTTTTCGCTGCCCGCTGTTTGTCGCATTATCCAATCTACTGCAATCAAGAAAATCATTGGCGATAGTAGGCAGCCTTATCTTACTCCTGTCCTCGCTTCGAAGGGTTCCGTAAGTTTCCCGTTGTGGATTACTTGGCATGCAGCATTGTCGTACAGCTGTTGGATGAGATGTATAATTGTCGGTGGCACCCCGTAGTAGCTAAGTAGTTTCCAAATCACCTCTCGATCGACGCTGTCGAAGGCCTTTTCAGAGTCGATGAAGTTGAGATAGAGAGGTGACTGCCATTCCAAGCTTTGTTCAATGATGATCCGTAATGTGGCGATCTGATCAATGCATGACTTGTTAAACGCTTAGATTAATTTCATTTCTAAATCATAATAATATTATTTGTGCAGTAATTGTTTCTTATAGTTTTATTATTATAATTACTATTACTATAACTATTGTTGTTTACTTTGTTAATTTGTAGGGCATGAATTAGCCTTACAGTACAATGATTCCTCTGTACTGGAGAATCATCATCTTTATATGGCCTTTAAAATTCTAAGTGAACCAGAATGCGATATATTTGCTAACTTAGGCGTTAAGAAACGTCAAACACTGCGTAGAATGGTAATAGAACTGGTAAGTTCTCTGGTATTGTATTCTGTTCTGCTGTTTGATCCTTGTTCTCTTTGGTGTATTTTTATTTTGTAAATCACGACACAAGTTGTATGGTATAAAAATGGTTAGGGATAAAGGTACATTGATGGTGCTTTGATCACTTGTGACAACAAATGTGACCTAAATAATATTCTTCAAGTTTCTGATAGCTGCCAACCACACTCATCAAATTTACGAGTGAAGTAGAAACCGGACAGACTGTTTTCTCTCTGGACATTCCACTAACAAAGAAGACTGCAATGGGACTCTGAACACATCAGTATTTGGAAAGCTCACAGACAACCTGTCACAGTAGGGTACTCGTCAATCACAAGTGGAAGCTGATAATATCTCTAGTGACTAGGATTCGGAGAATCTGCAGTCCTGAATCAGGAGATGATGAGATCACTGTTTTGAGGAGGACACTACTTTGAAATGACTACCCCACCCCCACCGTGACCGCCATGCCTTATAGATGAACATAAACAGCCCAACTCCAACAAAGAACATCCCAGCTTTGTATCGAAGAGGATGCTGCACGTGAATGTGGAGTTCACTGGCGACCACATGGTCGACACCCTACACATGAGAATATCTAACGTCATGAAAAAAACATTATTTGCTGATACATCAAGATCGGTATTCTCTTGGAATCTAATTTTCTTCAACAACTCCAAAGATAAACTATCGTATTTACCGATCCATTTGCTCATCTGGAGCGAGATATACAGGCCGTTCAATGCGTGTTATATGTTAGAGAGTCAAAGAACATTATTCCGCTTGGATATGAAAAGGTGAAAGTGAATCACTAAGGAGTACTGTAGTCTGACAGACATTCAACACTGGTCACTCAATATACAAGGAGAATTCTTTCAAAGATGAAAGTGCCATCAGCCCACAATTTGTCGTTTGGCTTAATGATAAACTTCCTCCTCTGTTTAATTAATCATCCACAGAAATGCGTTCACCTTCGTCAACTGACCTTCTGTTTGACAGACACTCTTCAGATAGTTTACCTTTGAAGCCATAATTGCCTTGTATCGATGAAAAACCTAAGATGTTTGAGCCGAAAGATATTGTGAAACAATGATGGTTGAAGACGATAAAAGTCGCAAGTTCAGTGTTGTGCTGTGACTGTTGAAAAGACATCCACTACTTATATGCTGCTTGAATTTTTACAGGTGACTCCCCTCACCAATGAGCACAGTCTTTACACATACTTCCATACATTTATTCTCCATCATGAATTCGAATAAAGCAAGAACAATAGTTTGTACGGAATAACATGCTGCCATCAATAATCTCGTCAGCTTCTCATCAAGTGCGTACAGTCTAAAGAAATTGTTGAGTTCATGCACAGAACAGCTTTAACATACTTACTAATGTTACTTAATGTCACTTAGTGAAATGAGACTCCAAAGTTAATAAAGAGTGCTCAAACGACTGCACATTTATAGTCAATACACAGGAAGTTCAGGTCCAAACAAAAATAAAGGCTTGGCACATTGGAGAAGGAGTTGACTAGTAAAGACAAAAGGTAAACAAAGTGATGAGTGACTAGTAAATTGAATAACAATGTGTTGAGTTCAACTCAAATCACACAAAGAAGAGATGAGAAAAGTGAGACTATATCAAAGGGGGTGAAGTTAAAGCCAAAGATGGAGTAATCAAATGAAGAGGGAATGAAGACACCGAGTTACCATGGCAATAAAAAAGGATTGGTCAATCCTCTTCTGTGAACACACAAGTCGGATTTCAGGCGTTTAACAGCAATTACTTACATAAACTTGAGTCTAACTGAACTGTTTTGTTTGTTGATAATTTTAAACTACGTCGTGATGTCCATCTGACGACCCGTATTGATGAGATGTTCGGTAGTGGCACTATTCTAAAGCTCTATTACTTTGAGACATGTGCTTTTGGTACCAGTTCAGAAAATCGAAGTTGTAGCCTCCTTTCTCTTCTCCTAATATAACTACTACCGCAGATGCATGTAAATCTTTATACACAGCCACAGTTAATATGAGAAGCGTATCGATCGATTTTCGATCGCACCAAAGAGCATGTACAGTGTTTCATTTACAAGCTGATCAGTATTTACATTCAGTATTTGTGTATGTATGTGGGAGGGGAATTACGTTTTTATTTCAACACATTGGAAGTTATTCCATTTAAAAGTAAGTGTTCAGTGAACAATAAGACAGTATCTGTAGTACCAGTTGGGAATGTACTTAGGAATCATTCTCCTAAATATGGAGTCTTTCAGGTCTCATGACTGAATTATCTTACTCCACGATTCAACTGATTCAACTGTGTTAAGGTGGATCAAATCAAGTTGCGGAATTCAAGAAGTAACATCAAACTGTTAAAAGAGTTTTACAGCCTCCTGTCCCAACTTTGCGTTTATAAATGGTGTTAACCTTCATAAAGTGTGAGAAAGTTCAATGAATAATATTCAGTTATGGCTCTACTAGTTGGTGTGAGTACTACTCATCGCAGTCATTCACTAGTATACACTTTTGTGCAAATATGTTTGATTCCTTGATTACCATTTACGATATCAAGCAGATCACATACGGTATGATCTGAATAATGTGAGTTCCAGAGGATACTCTGGTAAAAATTTCACTCCTCGAATTTTGAATTTAATTTATGGTGCCACCAGCTCCCCACAAGTAACTAGCCAGGTTTCGGTGGATTTGAACTGATTTGGCTCTCTGAGATGAGTAAAACAGGGTACACACCACTGATGAGCTCATCGTGAAACGAGTAAAATGGCAGCTTGGACAACTTCGACTTAGGTGGCAAGCACTAGAGGCTGATGTGAGTGCTACACAACTGTGCACCTCAGTCAAACAGTGCACGGTGTAGTATCTAGTTTTTGAAATGCAGCACATTATATTCTGTCCAAAAGCTGTTGATATTTCTCAGCTTCACTCAACTTACTGCACAATGCGACCTGAAAGAAGAACAAGAGTGGGCATTAGTAAACGCCACTGAGATAACAATAGTTCTCAAACTAATTATAAGTAAAGCTAGACTCCCACGGATGAAATTGGTGCTGCTATATTGTCAACTAGTTGAATTTAATGTCTACTGACCATCGATTTCTCAGCAGTTGGTATAACGTCAGTGTAATTAGTTGAATTTTTGGAGGCAAATAGCATGAAGCCCTGACTGCACCTAGGTTTCGGGCTCGTTGCCACTCACCAGTCAGCAAGCCCTATCTGCAGTCTTTTAGGAACTCATGTCCCTTCCGAGATTCGAACCCGAGTCACGCAGTGCTGCTGTCAGAGATGCTATCACCGATACGCCCTGGTGACGAACGCCAACAAGCACGAACACTACGTCTGAGGAAGCCTTCCTGCCGATTGCCTCCAACCATCTACTAGTAATTCAAAGTGCATCGTGATGACGAGCCACCCAGCTTGATGGTGGCCATATTGTAAATCTGACTGGTAGAATTCAGTCTCTGCCACCACAAAGAACTAGACGCAGGACATTAGTTACTACCTAGCGTTCATCCAAAATGTCAATGTACTTTCCATGAGAGCAAAATGTATCTTTTCTGCTTCTCAGAAGAAATCAGCTTTCGTCCCTTGTGTCATTTTTGCTGATATCTGAGGAAATCTTCCTGTGAGTATGCTTTTTTTAAAGTCTAACGTCTTTACTTCTCACTCATCTTGACTTTTCTCCCTTTGTCTCCAATTTGCACCTGTTTAGGTACTAGCAACAGACATGTCCAAACATATGAGTTTGTTAGCTGACCTACGGACAATGGTTGAAACTAAAAAGGTTTCTGGATCGGGTATACTGAATTTGGACAATTATGCAGATCGAGTACAGGTAATGTTGTGCTATTTGATTAACTGAGATATAAGTTTTAATTTTGACTGCGGAATGAACGACTGAAAGCCTCTGGGAAGTGCTGAACGTCTGTTTTGTCCTAGTGAGAAGTCGTAACCAGTGGGGTCCACTACCAGGTGAGGAGTGGGAAAAAACACCCGTCAATTATACTGATTGGTGGTCTCGCTGAAATCACGAATTATTTAAAGTCAGAATTCATGCACTAGCCATTGAGTTGAGTCACAGTGACCGAACGATGTAAGAGCTTAACTTGTAACCAGCAGGTCCTAGGCTCGAATCCCGTTGGGTACATACTGATGAAGAATCTCGAACCGGGAGGAAACATCTGTTTAGTACTCAGTACTGGTTCCCATCGGTTCTATAACTGATATCAATTCACGGGCATGCTTGAAAAACTTCGAATCCCTGCAAACTAACTCAAATATAAGTGTTGTATTGTATTCACAGGCAAATTGTGCGTCACAACAGTAGAAAGAGGCGGTGGAAGGAAGCCTACATGTAGAAATAAAGTCATAAAGAAAGATACCTGTAGGCTTTAAGTTCACAAAACAGCTTGAGTTTTGAATAGGTTTCGAAGTGTTGTGTCCACATGTTTCAACCTTCTAACACAATCGACGAAAAAGCTGACTACATATAATGCCCCGTCATCCAGAAAATCATACATTTAGTTTGTATGAAGTCAACGTTCTTTGTTCAGTAATCTGTAGTACTAAAGAACACTGGCATTACAACAGCACAAATTCAACCAGAAAGAGGTTTTCGAGGTTCTTGTCAAAAGATTAACTAGTGTTTCTGATCAGATCACTTCAATCTTCTATGACCCTTTTTACAAAATGTCTTCCCTTTCCGAGTGGAACACAGTACTTTCAGTGTAACAGTAGTGCTGTCTTAATGGGGAGAGGTTGCTGACCTCGCCCGAAACTTCTCTTCTACGGGCTTACTACTCCTGTCTAGTAAACTAGGCGAGGTTTAAAAGTACCTCAGCGGCAAATTAAACCCCCACACAGGTGAATAATTGGAGACTCGACCACCAATAACTCTGCTATGCTTCACTTTTCGAATAATTATAAAGAATAAACCGGTCAACTTGATTTACTTCCATAGAATGGTAAGATATCTATAAAAATGGGCATTTTAGTCAGCATAATAATAATACTACTAATGACAGTTGTGAATGATGGCGAAATGTTATAAAGTGGAAAACAATGTGGTCGTACAAACAAATGTTTTAATTTACATAGTTCAGGGAGGCTTAGAACACAAATTACAACAATAACACCCATTGGGTCATGAAGAAAATAAAAGACAAATTCAGTGAGGATTTCGTCGATAAAGAAAATTTTCTTCTCTGAATTTGTCCTTTACTTTCTTCATGACAACAATAATAATGAGAATTTTACGGATTACTAAACTGCATAAGAAGTAAATAAACTTAGTCTTCAAGAGTTGACTTGCTTCCAGTTACAGAACCATTGAAAACCAGTAGGCAGTACTGGACAGCTGTTTCGTCCTGGTTTCGGACTCTTCAGCAATGCCTCACCAAGGACCTAACCCAAGATCTTTAATTTACGGAACCAAGCTCGGTGATTATTCAGTCACTTGGGTAGGAACTTATTGATCCATGAATTCAAATTACTGTCAGTTCGTGGCTTCATTACAAGAAATACTTTTGATACAATGTGGAATTTTTAGCATGTAGTCTAACAGTGCATCTGTTAGTTGTTGGAGGCAGTCGGCAGAATGCTCTCCCTAGACTTGGATTTCGTACTTGTTGAAAGTCGTCAGAAAGAGTTATCGAAACCTTGGAGGAACTTATGCCCCTTTTGAGTTGAAGAACCCGAGTCACGCAGTGAGTGCTGCAGTCACAGACGTTACTGAGTTACTGCTGAGCTATTCGGGTTTGCGATTAGCTTCCTGTAGGACTGTATTGGTCGAATTTTCAAGTCTGGTCAAACCTGAATCATTGTTACTAATATTCAAACGACAAGTGAGACAGAAAGAGAACTCTTACCTCATAGTTACGGACCATTTTGAAGTACTAGAAGTAGTCGATTGCAAATTCACTTGTAATTCAGATTTCCTGTTAATTTTGAAATACTCTTGTGGAAAGCTGGGTTGTATCCACCAACGCAGAAAGTCTTACAATCAATAACCAAGCGTAATTTTACAATATTTCTTCAATAAAACTCATTGCCTTAGAGTGAGTCTCTCGTGGTTCAGGCTTCTATACCAAAACATCTTGAAAAGTTACTATTAAGATGGGAAATCATTTCTTTTAATAATATTCTTCATACACTTTACAGATTTGTCACTTATTTACCACTAAACTGAATTTTCAAACTTAGGGTGTCACACTCTTGTTTACTAATTGTACTACACAACAGAGAGCCTGGATCCTAATGAGATATTCAGTCATGGCACCAACTTCAAAGTGCTAAAAAATCTCAGTTGTATGTTACTCAACCCAGGTATTTCGCCTCAACTACCCTGGGAATAAGTGTACAAAACCCTCTACTACAATTTCAGTGTAACTTCGGAAGGAATCTTCAGCAGTAGACACCTTTGATCCCACCTACAGGGATCGAACTCGGGACCTGAAGTTAATGAGGTCAGGCTCGTTGATCATTCAACTAACTGGGCCGGAATCCAATACCCGGTCCATGAATTCTAATTTCCATCATTTCGTGATTTTAGTGAGACCACCCCCCGAAGTTATCAGTGAGTATTTGTCCTCACACCTGGCCTACTGACGACTTCTCACTAGAACTCCCACCGGTCAACTTTTTCCTGTAGCCAGTCACTAGTTAACATCAGATTAACTTCCAAGGGCTAGTTTGTAGGAACTTGATTCCTTTCAAGTTTGATCATGGGTTGATGGTAGTCGTGCAAAAAATCGCGAATGTACAGAAGCTAGAATTCATGGGCTGCTGGATTTCAGTCCAAGTCGGTGTAAGGTCAATAAGGCCAAACTTGCTGACAATTCGGCCTCTGGGAAGGAATCTAATGCCCGGTTGATGAATTCTAAAATCTATCAATTGGCAATTTCAATTTTCCGAAAATCCTTACTCTTCCTAACTGTGCTGTCATCATGTTTACCTGATTTTAAATGAAAATAATCGATAGAAGGCTCGGGTAAATAAGACTCTTATCTGATGAATGTCGTTGTGTAAAGGTCTATCCGTAACATAATAATAACTGACTGACTGAGTTCGAGCATAAAACTTAGTCCAGAAAAGCAGCAGCCCAAGTTGCCGTATCCCGTGGAGTATACGAAGGCAGAAAAAAGAGAGAGGAAAAAGGATTCGAAAGCACTATAATAAGTAGCAAATCGAGGGAGAAAGAATGGGCGATTATATGGCATTTCCCTTATTTTTAAAGTGGTGCCACATGCTCTACGCGGTGGGTATTAAGGCAGTTCAGTAAATACACCGAAATGTACCAGCATGATTTACGTCTAAATTTTGAACTTACTGCCTGCTTTAATCCATTACATTGCACAGATGACAGTATGAAGCAACATTTTCTGATAAAAGTGCAGTAAATGTAACGCAGTTCAAGAGTATAATGCCACCAAGAATATGTACATCATAAAAACAAATTTTCAATGTAAAATTTCATTTAAAAGACACATACGAAATATAACTTGTCATTAAATCACCATAGCAATGGACTACGACGCTACAATTAGAAGGGATGTACATTAAAGCCACTGAGATAGAATAGTAACATGCGAAAACATTAGGGTTTAATGGATATGCTAGTGAATTCATCTGTGCGTCGGTGGCACAGCGGTAGAATATTCGCTAACCACGCAGGTGGTTCAGGGTTCGATCCCCGGCTGACTCATTCCTTTAGCTCCCTCGCCAAGCCAGTAATAACACTGGTAAAGAGGGAAGGTTGGGCATGAGGCTAGCAACTTAATCCCGTAAAAATGAATACCACCGCTACCGAAACTTCAATACTCTAGTTTGAAGCTCTATGTTCCACTGGGAATGTAAATGAATGAAGTAAAATAAACCATCGAGACCGATTTTAAGCAATATCACCAACAGCCTGAAGCCATTAGATCTTAGCATCCTGAGGACCCCAAACAGTCAGGCAGTCTACACCTCCCTACGTGGTTCATACTGACTGTCAAAGATGTTATTGACCAATGCCAGGTTGCCTTTTCATATCATCCATTTCCAGTGGTCATATCTCACATCCATAATGGAAGATCAAGAGGACTGCTGCGCAGTACATGTGTCATTTGTTTGATTACACGATTATACGTCTACGCCAGGGATAAGGTAGGCGGGAAAATACCACAAGAGCCATTTTTTATCTGTGCTGAGATTTCATTACCAGTCAATTCATTGGCGGAGTGGTCAGCACGCCCCACCACTTCACTCTGTATCTTTAATTTTGGAGTCAGTGCAGTCCAGTCCTGCAGCAACACACTAATAATGCCTAACTATATTATGGGAGTTTAGCCTCCATCAATGTCAAGAGGAAGGTTCTTTGGTCACGGTAAAAATATTGCCAGACAAATAAGACGGATTTGGAATTTTTCACACACACGTTCACGCTGTCTTCATACTGCTAATTTGTTCCTACATTTACAAATAAAAGTGCAAGTTCTTTCTGATGACTGCATTAACAATCGTCGTATTTCTAGAAATTTAGTCTAGACTCATGTAATTTGATTTTGATTTTAACTTAAAACAGACAGTCTAATTAATATGAGAAGGCATGAGGACACATTCCTGCCTCGTTATCCTACTATCGATATATCCATCTCAAAGACATTGGGATTAATGAATTGTTGCTTTTGTGTGTGTGTGTGTGAGTGTGCGTGACATTCATTCATATTAAACTTCTAGTCATCAAAAGACATCTATGGTTGTTACTTATGTCTAGGAATTTTGGGATTAAGCACTGTTCCCTGTATGTCCTCGTGTATATTTATACGTATGTGCGTACATATGCACACACAAGAA